TGTGTGTGTCTGTGTGTGTGTGTCTGTGTGTGTGTGTCTGTGTGTGTGTGTGTGTAGAGCTGCAGGAAATTGATGATTGGACTCTCTGACACGATCTTCATCCACCACCTCATTAACTCTCCTCTCGTTTCTCTTCTTTCATCTTCTCTCCCCTTCTTTCTGCACTTTAAAGCCATAGAGATGAAGTTAATGCAATAACCATGTACCACTGTCCAGCTCTTCACATGATGGATTGCTTTCACAGACACACACACACACACACACACACACTCGGGCTGTAACTCAGCATTCGTTTTAATGTTGTTTTAATGGATGGGTTTGTATTTTAACTGCTGCTGCGATGAGTCCAACAGTCATGTATTTTCTGCAAATTTACATCCTCCCTGAGCCCTTACGGTGACATGTGATTTAGTGGAACAACACTTTGGGCTGAAATAGAGGCCAAGGAGAATATCCATGTTAGCATGTCCTGTCTGTTGAAACAGGCTATGAGGCAATGTTTTAATGTGGCATCATGGGAAATGAGGGTATGCACTGAGATTTTGTTTTCCTTCACTCTGTCCTTGACATTTTCCACTAACATTGTTTTTTTTTTTTTGATAAAGATATAGCAGATGTGCRTCTGTGTGTTGCAGTGAGGGGGAATTATTGTCCATTTTATCACCGTTGTAACGACCCGTGTGGTTGTTCTTGTTACCAGGACCTCGATCTGGACTTGTGGATTTGTGCGTGGTCATACATTATTTGCTTTTAATGCTTAAACACACATCATAACAGTAAGCAGGCTGCACTCTTTCACCAGGTGAAAAACAGGGAAACAATTAATAAAACCTTGAACCTCAAGACTGCAGCAACAAATCTAATCAAGCCAACATCATTTGTGCTGTTATTATCCCCGTCAGAATCCATTCAGACACATTTTCTATCTAATGTTGGACACTAGATTTAACAGATTTTAGAGCAAAAAAACTGAACGTTTAAAATGTAACTCTAGGAGCATCTGTTAGTGGCTCATTTTTTGATTTAGATGCGTTTATTAGAATACATTTTCAACAAATGGACGTATTTTTCATTGTAGGACTTCCAGTTTTACCATGGGTTTATTAACGATGACGCTTTTCAAACCAAATATTTAGTTTTCTGTTTTGAATCCACAAAACAATAAATCCAAGTCTCAAGCTGGTGTGTTTCTTGTTCTAAACTCTTCGTCTTCAAAGCAACATTTTAAAAAACCCTCCAACATCAGAGGGTCGGCTAATCATCTGCTTTATTTTGTCATTATTACAAGTTTTCTTTAATCAGAGTTCACAATCATGATGGCAATGTAAGTTTGAAAAATATGCTTTAATTAAATGTTTGAATCTAAAACAACACTCCTCACTGTTTTCCTACTCGAAAGCTATAAACAGTAAATGATTTTTTGTTAACATAACAGTACATTACTGCAAAAATGAATCAGAAATGACCATTTTCCATTCAAAATAAAACTCTTTCATTTCAGAACAAACAATTATTGTAAAAATATCAAAAACCATTTACAGTGTAGTTTCTAATTGACACTATCTCTGAAGTGGAGAACTTTTTTAGTCCTTTTATAATTTCTGCTGTGCCCTAGATTATAAAAATCACCTAAATCCAGCAGAAAATCAATTTTTAAAACAAAAAAGTTTAATAAAAGTCTCCTGAATCACTTTCTTGGAGCTTACAGTTTGAAGAATATGTGAATATTTGACAATTGAGGGTAAAAAACGTCTACGGTTGTCTTGCTGTGAGATATGTTCATGACGTTTTTGCTCCCATATTTCAACCCAAAGCCTTCCACGTAGAGAAGAATATATGTGTTTCTGGCTTTTCTCCCACGTTTAGAACACAAGATGTTTTAATGCTGCTGAGTCCCGCCTGTTTATAGATCTCTGCGCAATTCACATCAAGCTGTCTGYGCGCACACGGGCTGCTGTAGTTCCCCAGGGTTCCACGTCTGATTTCCTGCCCGGAATTAAATCAGTGTTTAGTTTTAATGTTGCTCTAAGGCCTGATATACGATCCGGARTGTTTCACGGACACACAGAATATCTTAACGGCTCATGCGCACACGCTCGCTCGCTCCCATGAAGCAAAATTTACCACCTACAGCTGGAAGGACATCCTGACGTACTCTGCTGCTCTTGTTTCCTTCCTCCTCTTCACACATACACACACACACACACACACACACACACACACACACACACAAACACACAGCAGGCAATATCCTTTCCTTCAAGCAATGCTAAGTCTAATTTTTGTTGTAGCTGGTGAAAATTTCGCACCTGGATTGCGTCTGATCTTTATTTATTTATTTATTTTCTCCCATTCCAGTCATTTATATCTGTCTGATGCATTTCAGAGCTTCTGGAGTTTAAAGTGCATCAAAATAAACATAAAAATTGTTGCATTTCAAACTTTCTGCTCTTCAGAGTTTGAGTTTCGTCGCACCGATGATGTAAATGAACGATTCATCTTAAATGCTTCATGTTGGAAGCATTTTGTATTCGAATGAGGTCTGCAAACGTAATGATWGGAGTTAGTCAGGCAGCGAGAGGTCGAAACGAGGAAAAGACGAGAAACGATTCAGTTGATCCAACAAACTCATGAAGGTACAAAATAATTATAGAATTATTTAAATCTGTGTTCATCAGTGCATCAGTACAACCAAACCTCCTCCTTCACTTCCATGCTGTGTTCCTCATGCTTTAACAGTCTTAACTAATTACTTTCACTAAGTAAAAAACACATTTTAGCTTTCGTCAGCTGTAAAATCTAAGCTGCAAATAATGTATTTTTTTTTTTTTTGCTTTATCAAAGAAATTGTTTATTCCAAAAAGAAACACTGATTCATCATAGGTAAACACTTGTACTCTAATGAGTTCTTGGTAGAAGGGAGCTTAAGAGCTACTTTTATTCAAGTATTTACCGGTACTTGAAATACTAAGAATCTGTGTTTTTGCACCAGGGGGGAATATGTGTTTAGTCTTTTTGCTTTTTGAGAGAAATAAAAAATATTTTTTCCCCTGTAAGGTTTAGAGCTCGTGTCAAACTTAAGGCCAAATCTGGCTCTGGTTAAGATTTTGTCTGGCCCTGAAGGGAATACCTTTAAATGWAAAAAAAAAAAAAAAAAAAAAGGTTTTTCTTTCATTTGTTTGAGAAAAATGAAACATGGACTGTTTTCCTGTTTTTGGGTTGTAAAATGAAAAGAGAATTGTCTGTTTTTTGTTTTGCAATATCTGTTTTTAAAATGGAAAAAACAAATAACCATCCATTCTTTTGATTTTCAATATCTTCATCCATCCATCCATCCATCCATCCATCATCTGTGCCCACTTCTTCTTTTCAGGGTCACGGGGGTCACTGGTACCCATATCCAGCTGTCGCAGCTGTTTTTAAAATTTAAAACTAAGGACCAATGCTAACCGTATTTTACATCTTTTCATCCAGTTCGCTGAGGATTTGCTCATCTTTCTCGTTTTCTTCAAGATCCTTGTCGTCTTCCTCCAGAGCCTGAGGATT